CACAATATATTTTTTTAATGTTACTTAGCATATAAAAACACCCCATTTAACAATCTTGCACAAATTAGATATAATACATTTCATACTATTATAAAAACACATTTATATAAACACATTTATAAAACAACTATATAACATATATCACCACATACATGTATTTATCAAAAAATTTTAAACTTTGAGCATAATATACATGCAAACTTATATGCAATCTTTTAACAACTATAAAACAACATTTATTAGCATCAAATATTTTTAAAGTAACAAAGAATGCAGATACAATGCACAACATTGTTACTAAAAATGAAGTTATATCAGTCAGTATATATTAATCTAAAGCAATGAAAAAGAAGAAACCATTTAAGAACAAAGTTAAAAATTTCTAATAAATACATATTTAGATACCTTAAAATGAAGCATAGAACAACACTCTTTTGACAAATTGCAGAAGAAATTTTCTCAACTTTCTATTCCTTATTATTTATCCTTAGAGAAAAAAAAAATATATATATATATATATATATATATATATATATATATATATATAGATATAGAGAAATATAAAATAGACTGAAATAAATCGAAAATCTTAATTTATGTATGAGAAAATAACTTGAACTTACTAAAAAAAGTGATCAGCTCCTCTTAACTGCTCTAAAAAATAAAACTAATACTGCTTAAAATGTTTTAAAAAGACTAACGACCAAACTGAAAAAGTTTTCTTAAAAAAGAAACATTGTACTAAAAAAACTATTTTACCAGTCAATTTAGTTCTAACTTATTCTAAAAAATGAAAAATAAATACATATTTAGATACCTTAAAATGAAGCATAACACAACACCCTTTTGACAAATTCCAGAAGAAATTTTTTTTTTTTTTCTATTCTCAACTATTTTTGCTAAGAGAAAATAGATATACATATATATATACATAACAAACTAACAATTATTTAAATTTTTATTTTAAAAAATAAACAACATCAATTCTTCTTGAAAATAAGTTTATCAGCTCCAATTTACTTGCTGATTTTACTCGAAAGACCGCGTGGAATATATAACTGCGCTTAGAAAAGTTTAGAAACAACTTAAAAACAAAGAAATAGTGTATTTTACATAATGCAGAACCATAATTAACAAAGTGAACAATAGGTGTAACAATGCATAACTATGCACACTAATAATAATAATAATAATATTCATTTGGCTATTAATTATCCATATGCTATAAATTGTTCTAATATTTTTTTAAAGGTTTGTTTACATAATGAAAAAGTTTGGCAGTATTCTAACCAAGATGTAATTAATCCTTTCATACTAATGAAATTAAAATAAATTTTTTCCCATTAATAGTTGCTTTAATTATTTGAATTTTAAGCAAATAATAAAACGAAGTGAACTAAAATGTGCCAATCTTTAAACCTTTCAATTAAACTACCTGTCCAGGGCTATAATTTAAAATGGAATCAAAAACATTTACCAATTATCATTTTATTATTATTACTATTGAAACTAAATTTTAATATTTAAAAGCAAACTTGTGTGACCACAACTGAACTGTGTGATGTTTATTTAAAATTACAACTAATCCTAATAACTATTAATATTTATCAAATGAAGTATTACTATTTTATGTTATTTATTAATTAACAACAATTACTAGTATGTCTAAGTCCTTTTTGAAAAAGATATTTTTGCAGTGTAAGTTATAGATTATCATTTTATTGCAATCAGTCAGATTTCCAAAAAATAGTTGGAATTTTAGTATTTATCAAAGTATTAGTTAGAAAACACACTTTTAAATTTTGTTTGAGTTTGTATTAATCAATCAATTATGGTCAGGTCACGCTGTAACTGGTAACATGTAATTCAGTACAACCTGTTTCATAGCATCTCCTAAGCCACAGTAAAGGCAACTTACTTATGAAAACTGATCTTCATCCTCCAATTTAGTTGTGGTTAAGGTTAGGAGGAGCTTGTATACTATGGAATTTAATCCTCCGAAATTGCAATAAAAATACTCAGCCCTAATTTTCTAAATAAATTAACAGCATGGTAGGCATTTGATTTTTGTTTCTTAAAATTAAATATTTTATATTGACGACAATATAAAATACTTAATTTTAAAATTAAATATTTTTTATTGTCGACAGGTTCAATTTAAAATGATAATAAGTACGATCTGGAATATTACTGTTGAATAAAAAGCCATTGTAATTACTTAACTTTATGTGAATAAAAGTTTGAGCATTTTTTCTCCAGTTTTTATTTGCTTAAAGCTGAACAGTTACTCTAAAAGCGCTTAGGAAAAGGAATTTTTTTTATTCACCTATTGACAAGTATTATAATTAAAATATTGATAATAGTTTTATATTTAATTTAAGAACTTTAATAAAAAATTATGTTAGTAAAGAAAATAAGATCTAGAACATATGGACAATGTTACAGGCTTATTCCTTGAGATACAGCTATTTACATTCAGAGTAAACACCATTTATTGTTAATAAACTTTATTTTTTGTATGGCCACCTATGTTTAATTTTTACACTGCAACACTACAGGAAAGTTTTCAATAAAAATATTTTTGGCATTTTTTTTTTCTGTATCATTATTATTATTTTTTGCAGTTTTGTTAAAAATGCTTTTTGCTATCTCTAAAGGATGTTTTAAATGTTCGTTTAAATGTTGAATGTTTAGAATAAAGTAAAATAAATTGTAGTAAAAACACATTAAAAACCATAATAAATATAATATAAAAATGTAAATATTAATTAATAATATAAAAATGTCTAGGAAAAATTGCAGTTGCAATAGTGAGTGGTTAAAAGATTCTAGATTTTCAAATTGGATATCTGCAAAAAATGCTGTATTGAGTGCAAGATGTAGACTTGGCATGTGTAGTTTCAGTGTAAGTGACATGGGAATTAGAGCAGTAATAAGTCATGGGTTGGGTAAGAAACATCTGAGAAAGGCAGAAGAAACTATTGGTATCTTTTTTGACAAACTACCACTTCCAATAGATAATTCATGTTCATTTAAAGCACCTTCGAAGATTTCAAAATCTTTTGAATCCTACATTGTTCCTGCTCTTAATGCAGAAATACTGTGGACTTTAAAGATTGTTGTGTCGCACTATTCACTTAGGTTATGTACTGGTTTAATGGAGTTGTTTAAACTTATGTTTACAGATAGCGAAAGAGTATAAGGTTTTTCATTGAGTAGAACAAATTAATAAAAACTATTTAATAAACTTTGGAATGTATCCTTATTTCAAAAATGCATTAATTAAGGAAGTTGAGCTATCACCATTTTTTGTTGTCTCCTATGATGAGTCAATGAATCATACTTCAAGAGGAACAGATGGATATTCTAATTTGATATTGGAATGAGTCCTCAAGTTTTGTTGAAACTCGTTATTTGTTTATTAGTTTTTTTGTGTAATAGTTGCTGGTTAAAATTGTTGAAAAACTCCAAGAAAGAAGTCCTTTGAAATATATGTTAGTGCGAAATGCAGCATGTCTATCCCCAAAAAATATGGTTATTAACAAAGAAGTGCAATTTTCATGTTTCGGTCAGTTAGTTGATAAGCTGTATAGATCAAAGTTGATATCCGCCCATACAGCTGGTTTTGCAAAAGATCAGTTTGAAAAATTTACAAAATCTGTAGTAGCAGTTATTAAGGAAGAGTTCAGGCAATTTGATTGCCAAAATTCGATTGCCTAAAAATGTGACTTAACAAGTTTTTAATGTCTTACTTAAATGGGAACAAACATTTTGAATTATTTAATAAAGTTTGCATCCTAGTTTTCACTTTATCTCATAGTCAGTGTGCTGTTGAGCGAGGTTTTAACAAAGAACTTTTAATTGATAACACGCAACAAACCTCTTTGATTAATCAGCATACTGTTTATGACCTTCGTACCGCATCGAAACAGGATGTTCACAATTTCACATTAACTAATGAATTAACAAAAAGTTGCAAATTAGCTTATTCTCAATACGTGCAATATTTAGATGAAAATAAAAAGGAATATATTATTACTAAAAGTGCAGTAAAAAGGATTTGTTTTTATAGTTTGTTCTGTTTAAAATTTTAAGTTAAAAGTATTTTTAAAAGTCATTTCATATCTTGAAAGTTTTAATTTAGTGAAGTACTTTTGATTTTTTCAAATATTTATTTTTGTTCAAAATTTTTAACTTTGTTACTTTAACCATTCATATAAAAGATTCATATCAATAATTCCTGCACATACTTGATAGTTATTTGTTATTCAGAAACCTAAAATGTTTAGAGTAAAGTTATGTTAGCAATTAAAGAGGTCCTAAAAGTACTTAAATTGCAGATCAAATGTTTTGAAAATTCTACTTGGATCAGCCGAATATTTTAAATCCCTATTTTAAAGTGTTATATCTTTCATCAAAGTAGATTCTCTTGAAACATTTTTTTTGTGACAAGTAGTTTTAGCACTAAGCTCTTCAACTATACAATTTAAAAGATTAAAAAGTGTTATTAGAGTTTGTAGTAAGAGTTAGGGTAAAACACTCCCTGTGCGCTCTTATTGTCGCAACTTGTTCCCTTAAAAGATCACGTGCCTTTATTTTTAAAGTTACAATTGTCATACTTTGGTCAGTTATAATGCTAACATCAGAGTTTTTTTTCAGACACGATTTCAGAACTTTTTAGCAATTAATTTTTGGTTTGCATGTTTTTGCAAATAGCAACAGCTAGGTGCATGGTAACAGCTAGGTAAGTACTGAATACTCTAGTGATTTATCATAAGAGTCATGAAAAACAAAAAAAATTTCATTTTCAAATTTGAGTGGCCACCCTGATAAAAAATTAACTTTTTTCAAACCTTAAAAATGCTTAAAAATTATTTTAATGCATACACAATAGCACTTATTGTTATCTTTTTATATCATGTATACTTTTATCATATATATATATTTTTTATGCCCAGTTAATTTTTATTATTTTTATATAATTTTTAATTTATCTTAAGCATGGGGCTGATCCAAAAAAGAAAAATCATGAGGGTTATACACCACTAGACTTAGTAAAAGAAGGTTTTCCAGATGTTGCTGACCTTTTGCGTGGTGATGCTGCTCTTTTGGAAGCTGCTAAAAAAGGAAATTTAGCTAAGGTAGAAATTTTAAAAATTTTTTCTATTGTACTGGTTGAGTCCTTTTATTTAGTATTCCCTTTAAATTGTTACATGATTTCAGTAATTTTTTTATGTGTGCATGCACACATACATACATACATAAATACATACATACATAGGTATATATATATATATATACCTATATATATATATATATATATATATATATATATATATATATATATACCTATATATATATATATATATATATATATATATATATATATATATATATATATATATCTGTGTGTGTGTGTGTGTGTGTTTAAATATAATATATATATATATATAAATATATATGTGTATATATATATATAAATATATATATATATCAACCCTCGGAATTAGGAAAAATTAAGTCGGCAAAAAAATTTGATACAAATTTTTTTGCCGACTTAAATTTGATATGGTCTTACCATAACAAATAAGGTTAGCAATTTTTGCCAACCTCAAACTTTAAGGTCAGCATTCCCAATTGCCAACCCTAATTCTGAGGGATGATATATATATATATATATATATATATATATATATATATATATATATATATATATATATATATATATATATATATATATATATATACATATATACATATATACATATATACATATATACATATATACATATATACATATATACATATATACATATATACATATATACATATATACATATATACATATATACATATATATATATATATATATATATATATATATATATATATATATATATATATATATATATATATATATATATATATATATATATGTATATATATAAATTAAAATGCAAAATATGTGTGCTGGCAATACACTAAATAATCACACATGGCATGGATGATGGTGTAGTTATCAACCAATAGGGAAATATCTTATATGATCTGTAAACATTAAAATCATGTGTAATTTAGTCATTTTAGAGCAAGGCTACAACATTACTTTCCAGTGGGCAAGCGTTGTCCAGGGGTTGTTTGTTAGACGTCATACAGATATCCCTTGGGCAACACGTGTCCACTGAGTTGCTAAATGTGCTTAAGTACATCTTTTAATGGAAGATGGCAAGTCTGAACAAATGATTGCTACATGTTTGAATATGCAACTGAAAAGAAAACTGTTCATCATACCATTTAGCGTATCATATTAAAGGTTGGCATCAATCCAGGAATATTTTGTGGAAGAAAAAAATTTACCACTTTAAAAACTAACAACACGGTACACTGTTTAGCTGTAAATGGCTTACAGATTTCAAGATCTTTAATTTTCAATCCTATTGTTCTGCATTAAAGTCACACTCTCCTTAAAAAAATATTTGTGGTTGCCACATTTTTTGCAAAGAATACAAAGGTTGGGCTAATAAAATGTGTCATGTTCTTAGACAAAGCACATATTTAGCAGTTTGCAACACACAATGTCAATATTTGCCACCAAATTCATGCTTTGATCCTCAAAAAATCTCTACCAATTATGTTCGGAATATAATTACTGGTTGTGCTGGTTTACACCTTTTCTAACAAAGTGAGACTGTCAATTCCAAAAACAATTTGGGAATTTTGAACAACCTTGTGTCTTATTGGTTTTGAATTAGAAAGTTTGACATTTTCATGCCCAACAGGATAACTTGCTGTCTATACAAGATAATGTGATTGTTTTTCTTGCCTCGCAGCCTGACAACTTGTATATATACACATTGTCAGGCCACATTGTATATATGTGTGTGTGTATATATATGTATATATGTATGTGTATTACTGTTATATATTGTATATATTATTTTTATAGTTATTAAAGTAGAAAAGATTTTTTAGGTTATGAAACTTGTGACTCATCAAAATATTAATTGCCGAGATACACTGGGGAGAAATTCAACACCGTTGCATTTAGCAGGTTTTAATTTAAAGTTAAGATATTTTTAAGAATTAATTATAATTAAATATTAGATATTTAATTTAATTTTTTTATTATTAATAATATTAGCTGGATATAATCATGTGGAAGTTGCTGAATACTTGCTTGAATTTGGGGCTGATGTAAATGCTCAAGATAAAGGAGGTCTTATTCCTCTACATAATGCATCTTCATATGGAGTAAATAGTTTTTTTTTAGTTTTGTATTATATCTTTTATGCTTTTGTTTTAATTTTTGAATTTAATATTTGTAATAACTAATTTTTTTTTTTTGCAGCATGTTGATATTGCAGCTCTTTTGATTAAGTACAAGGCTGATGTAAATGCTACCGATCGTTGGTTGTTTACACCATTACACGAAGCTGCCCAAAAAGGCAGAACTCAACTCTGTGCATTACTAGTAAGTTTACTATAAACTATATTAAATTTAACTTTGAATTGTAATTTTTATTTATCTTCACTCATTAGCTTTATAGAATGGATTAGGTTGAAGTTTAAAAAAATCATTTCAAAAAGTTTATTTTCAAGAGTGAAACTCATAAAAGCATTAAAAAACCGTTTTATAAAGTTTCAATTATGCATTCTATTTTGTAATAAAATAATATAGTAGTGTCAATATATTAATACTACAAACATATTTTTCATTAAAATGAGCAACAGATCTATAAGAAACATGCATGACATTTTATTGTGAGACAAACATTTTTTGACAGTCTTGTGTAATTTTAGCTTAAGGGCTAATTTATTTTTTATTTTTATTTTTTTTAATTTTATAAAATACTCTTTAGATATATTTGGAATATAAAATTTTATTTTATATTTGGAATATTTTAATTAAAATTTTATAGCTGTAATTAATAAAATGTGTTCAGGTTTTCTGATAGTTATAAAAAAATTTTAACACAATATATACATACTAAGACTGAAAAAAGAACAAATACAAATGAGGTATTCTAATAAAAAAATAGATTGTATTCAAAAAAAGCATATTACTAATTAAATCAGATGTAAAGAAACTGTGACAACCCTTTTAACCCTTTTGATTCTTCTTACATCTCCCTCGTAACTTTTTAATCCTTGTTACATCTTTTTCTTAACTCTTTTAATCCTTGTAACATCCCCACCTAATTCTTTTAATCTTTTTTACATCCCTCTTTTAACCCTTTTAGTCCTTGTCACATCCTTCGCTTAACTCTATGACACCTTATACAAACCTTGATGAATAAGGTTGCTGCATTATAAAGTTAAGCACAATATACTATATATCAGTATACTATATATCAATATACTATATATCAATATATCAGAGATGCAGTATATCTGCACTATTTCCTATCATTTTCTGCCTTATTTCTATCCATGCTCTCTATTTGTTTTAGCACCAAATTAGTTTGCACATATTTAAGAGATTGGAAACAAATAAAATAAGCAGGTATCTGTTAAAACTTTAGAGAAGTTTTTAAATATTTTAACAGATACCTGCTTATTTGATTTGTCAAACCATTTAAAAGTAGCTTTAAATGGATAAGTTTTCAAAAACTTGGTTGGATATTGAAGAATTTTAAAAACATTAATTCTGGATTCTTATTGTTTAATTCTGAACAAAATTAGTTCAATATAAAAATGTTATAATGGTAAAGAAAGAAAGAAATTCTATATATTTATATAGAGGTTTTTTACTTAAGTAATATAAACTATAATAAAAAAACACTTTTATTTTGTGTTGTCCTGATGTGATATATAATATGCAATCCTTGGAATTAGGGTCAGCATTCGGCAATGCAGACCTAACTGCCAACCTTAAAGTGTTTGAGGTCGACAAAAAATTGCCGACTTTGTTTCTATGTTTTGTAGTAAGACCTATTTAACAATTTTTTCTTGCCGACCTGATGCCGGCCTTTAAAAGATTGAGGTCGGTAAATTATTCCTGACCTCATTTTTCCTAATTTCGAGGGTTGAATATGTAGTCTAATGTAATATCTTGGAAAGATATAACAGATAATAGGCTAATTAATGCTACAAAATATTTGTTTCTTTTTAATCACATTGAGTTTATCTGTTTTTGTTTAAATTTATATTGTAAACACTACAAGCCATGACAATAAGCTGTTTAACTAAAGTAAGGGAAGTTCGTGTACCTAGGGTTGGATTTTTCAATGCCCAAAATTAGAGCCGCAAACTTGTCTAAAAATGGTGAAACTGAAATAAGCTTTTTTTTAATTGTACCTAGGGCCACTAGCTTGTGTACCTAAGGCTGCTCTTTGAAAATTATGGTCATAAAAATTACATAATAAATTGACTACAAAGATAGACACATAAATTTGACTAAAAATTTATTTAATCTTAGTTTATTAGATCTTAGATTGTTTTCAACAAATTTATCTAGTGTTACTTGATTGCAACACTTAAATAAGTAACAAAATTGACTAATAATTCTTGAAAAAAGTTGACAAATAAGTCTATGCGTAAAATAGTTATCCCAGAACAGCCGCAACAAGGAAAATTCTACACCAATCAAAGTTCAAAAATCTACCTCGTTATCAAACAAATTCTTTACGTACCTATGGCCTTAGGTACAAGTAAACTATATGGCCCTTGGTACAAGACTTGATAGCCTCATGAAAAGTGTCATCTATTAACAAACCTGAATTGAGAAGAAACTTATTGAACATTGCATTTAGTACTTAAATAGCAAACAATATAATATACAAGAACTTATATACAAAAGCATTCTCTCTAGGATTGTAAAACATTCTAAGATACCAGTGGCAAAAAATTACTTTAGGTCATTAAAAAGTGTTTTTCATTTATAACTTGCTGAAGTAATGCTCTCTCTTTTTTTATAACTTAATAGAATTTTTATAACTTATCAATTGACTGAGAAGCATAGCTTAAAACTTTATAGTTTTCAAATAATGTGGGGTGATCCTAGTTACACAGACGCCCTGGTATATGAATTTCCCCTAATTTATTTATTTTTTTGATAAATTTTTTATCTTTCTATTAGTTACATCAACAGTTCTTGGTTCATGATGTTATAGTTTTTGTTTTCATATTATGTATTTCATATTAATATTTCTAAATTTTCTTTCATGACTAATATTTTTTGAAATATTAGTCATGAAAGAATTCATATAAATTTCTTTGAACTTATTTTTCTACTGAGTTTCTTATTTTATAACTAAAACCTTTCATATTATTTATATATAATAAATATTTTCAAGTATTAAAGTTATAACATAAATTTGCTATATATAAAATATAAGTATTTAATTTTTTAAATAATATTTAGTTGACTCATGGTGCAAATGCCAATATGAAAAATCAAGAAGGTCAAACTCCAATTGATCTTGCCACAGTAAGTTTTTAAATTTATTTTAATTTTATCTTTTTTCTTTATTAAAATTTTTTTATAAACTTTGTAATTTCTGTTTCTTTATGTATTTATAGGCTGATGATGTGCAGGTCTTATTGCAAGATTCTATGGTTTCAAAATCAGAAGTCATGCAAATTACTTCAAACACTTGTTCCATTAAATCGCCTATCAACTCACCACAAGTGTTGCCTATTTCTAATGATTTGTCTCCTCAGCTTGAGCCACAAGGGCTGACTAAACCATCAACAGCAAATCAAAATTTACTTTTATCAGAACCATGCAATTCAGATGGTTTACAGACTAAACGTCTTAGAGATCAAGCTGAAGGTCTTGTATTTTAAACAAATTTTGTTTTTAAAGGTTTTTTTATTCTTTTTATTTACCTTTATATTTTTCTTTAGGCACAAACCCTCTAGATATTGATATTGGAACATTTTTAAGCAGCTTACAGTTAGAATTTTTACATGAAATATTTTCCAGAGAACAGGTTAACTAAAAATTAAATGATGAAAATAATGCTCATTAATCTTTAATTTTATTTCGTCTGCATATCTAAAAAAAAGAACTTTTATCTTTATAAATTTATCTTTATAAATTTTAATTTAAACAGATAACTATGGATGTTCTAATTGAAATGGGCCCAGATCAACTCAAAGAAATTGGCATTGTAGCATATGGTCATAGACATAAAATTCTGAAAGGTGTAAAAGAAAGATTGGCAGGTGCTGGATGTACAATTGGTATGCAAGTTTTTTTTTTACTTTTTTAAACTTTTATTAATGTTTTATTTCATGCTGATTTGGTATTACTGGTTTCAAAGAACTGTCACTCCTGTCACACTGTCCTCCCAAAGTCTTAGTTTGGAAGGACAGTTTCCTCTTGAAGGGATTTTCTTTTTCAACTCCAAAAAAAAAATTTTTGTTTTTGGAGTTGAAAAAGAAAATCCCTGTTTTAACTGTTTTTTATAGGAATACAAATTAGTATAAAAATTGTTTCAAAACACATTTCTACTTTTAGTAAGTTTTAAGCTTGAAATTGAAGTTTATTTTGAGAGGTTTAGATGGTAGACAATATATAAGAAGACCAGTTAGTAAGCAATAGAGACTATGTACACTATAGGAACCATAAAAAATGGGGTGGGGAGGGAGGCTAAGGTCTGATGGTTTGTAGGTACTTTTCCAGATTAGGACCACTTTATAGCATTAAAGGTACAATAGGAAAATCAATATGTTGTTAAACAAGGACCTACTGATCTGATATGCTTTTGATGGTATACTCTTAAAGGTTTCTTTAGTTTTGGTGTTAAAATAATAGCTTGTTTTCACTTTCTGCAGTTTTTATGGTATACAGTATATTTTCACTTTCTGCAGTTTTTATGGTTTGTAGGTACTTTTCCAGATTAGGACCACTTTATAGCATTAAAGGTACAATAGGAAAATCAATATGTTGTTAAACAAGGACCTACTGATCTGATATGCTTTTGATGGTATACTCTTAAAGGTTTCTTTAGTTTTGGTGTTAAAATAATAGCTTGTTTTCACTTTCTGCAGTTTTTATGGTATACAGTGTAGTGCTTTGTTAGTAGTTTTGGAAGACAGTGTAGTGCTTTGTTAGTAGTTTTGGAAGACAGTGTAGTGCTTTGTTAGTAGTTTTGGAAGACAGTGTAGTGTTTTGTTAGTAGTTTTGGAAGACAGTGTAGTGTTTTGTTAGTAGTTTTGGAAGACAGTGTAGTGCTTTGTTAGTAGTTTTGGAAGACAGTGTAGTGCTTTGTTAGTAGTTTTGGAAGACAGTGTAGTGTTTTGTTAGTAGTTTTGGAAGACAGTGTAGTGTTTTGTTAGTAATTTTGGAAGACAGTGTAGTGTTTTGTTAGTAGTTTTGGAAGACAGTGTAGTGTTTTGTTAGTAGTTTTGGAAGACAGTGTAGTGTTTTGTTAGTAGTTTTGGAAGACAGTGTAGTGCTTTGTTAGTAGTTTTGGAAGACAGTGTAGTGCTTTGTTAGTAGTTTTGGAAGACAGTGTAGTGCTTTGTTAGTAGTTTTGGAAGACAGTGTAGTGCTTTGTTAGTAGTTTTGGAAGACAGTGTAGTGCTTTGTTACTAGTTTTGGAAGACAGTGTAGTGCTTTGTTAGTAGTTTTGGAAGACAGTGTAGTGCTTTGTTAGTAGTTTTGGAAGACAGTGTAGTGCTTTGTTAGTAGTTTTGGAAGACAGTGTAGTGCTTTGTTAGTAGTTTTGGAAGACAATGTAGTGCTTTGTTAGTAGTTTTGGAAGACAGTGTAGTGCTTTGTTAGTAGTTTTGGAAGACAGTGTAGTGCTTTGTTAGTAGTTTTGGAAGACAGTGTAGTGCTTTGTTAGTAGTTTTGGAAGACAGTGTAGTGCTTTGTTAGTAGTTTTGGAAGACAGTGTAGTGCTTTGTTAGTAGTTTTGGAAGACAGTGTAGTGCTTTGTTAGTAGTTGTTCTAGAGATTTTTTTTTAAAAGAAATGAAACTAATTATGCTTTTTAATTTTAAACTGCTATTAAAGTAAGGTTTCGTTCTAAATCACACATTTTTCTAATTTAATAACTTATTAAAACCATTTGTTAAAGAGTAATTTAAAAAAGCTCATTAAGAATAACTATATATCCTTTGTTTGTTTTATACTTTCATTAGTTTAAGTGTTTTAAATAAAAGAGTTTTTTCAATAGTTGCTGTTGTTTATTTGTATATGATATACAAATATAATTTTGCATTATAAAAGTATTATTTAAAGTTGTGTTATCATATCAATGTTTTTTTTCTTCTCAAGTTTAAAAGTAACTCTGTCCTAGTAGGTGAACCATTTCTGTCTAATATCAATGCATCTGGACCTAATACTATCCTACAGGAACTTTCAATGGATGAAAAAGATTATCAATCAGTTGCTGAAGAAATGCAGTCAACAGTTGTTGAACATAAAGATGGCGGAGTAGCAGGAGGCATTTTTTCTCGGTAAATAGAAAATTATATAAAATATTTTTTAACAAAATAATATGACATAATTAGTTAGTTTTTTTTCCCAATAATTTGTTTTGTTTTTTTTGATCTTGAAATTATGATATAAAATATAAATATAAAATCCTATTATTACTAATATTATTATTATTAAAAATTACGATTTAAACTTCAATAATTAAATTTATAAATAAAAAATCACTAGATAAAACTAGAGAATTAAAGCATACAGTGCAATGTAATATTAAAAATGAAACAATCGCAAATCACAACATTCTAAAAGAGTTCATTGGTAATCAAATATTTTAAAAGAAATTGCAACTATTTTTACATCTTATTTAAATCTTACTCAATTTTTTCTAAAAAAGTTTTATAATAAAACCGTTAATTAAATGCACATAATTCTTTCACGCAGATATTTATCTAAAATTTACAAAAGAGGAGTTTAAAAATGTTTAAACTAATTTAAACTACTTATAGTAATTTATTTAAAAAAAAAACTTATTATCATATTTTAAATATATCTTTTTATCTATACTTTTATTATCAAATAATTTATTTCTGATTTAAAACATTCAAGTTTTTAAATAAATAATACTTCAGAGTTTCTCCATAACAAATATCAAATTTTATTGTTTCATACAAGGCACAAATAGTTTTATAATATTTTCTTATTGGTAAATTTTAAAATTACTTCGGGCCTTAGTGATTTAACTTTTTTTTTATAATTTATGATTTAATTTATAATACTTGAATTTATTGGTGTTTAAACAAACAATAAATTAAAGTATAAGTTATGTTTATTTTTGCAGTTGTAAATTTATTGATTTGTTTTTGCATTAATTTTTGTATTATGATAAATTGACCTTTTCATTACAACAGTATTTGCTTGCGTGTTAGATTTAAATTGTAAGTAAAGTTTGAAAGTGATCAAAAAGTTTTTTTCTTTTAAATTTAAATCATTTGAATTTAATTTCTCTAATCTTCAATACTATCTAAAAATAGTGTTCTGCAACATGAAGTTATTTTTATCAGACTCAGCAACTTGTGAGATAAAACATTTCAATTGCTTACATGTTTGATCATTGGGCCTACAAGTCTTCATGTCTCATTCAAACAAAACATTATATAAATAGACATTTATAAAAAAAAAAAAAATTTGTTAGCTATTCTCCTAATATAATCAGTTAGAACCTTTCTTATTTTTGTTTTAGTTAAACAAATTGTTTGTAAATCCAATTAAAAGGGTCATCCATAAAGCATGTCACCTTATATTTGTCAATTCTTAACCCCTTCCCCTTCTTAACAATAGATATAAAAAATCCACAATGATAGTTGCTTGATAATGTAAGTTAAATGCATAGTATCAAAAAAACTTATTTATTTTCCTTAGCCAGCCACCTCTGATAAATTTTTTTATTTTTTTTAAATTGGTACAGAATTCTCAACATCTTGTGAAAGTTTCTAATACAAATTGCTATACTGATTTGCAGAAATCTGAGCTAAAAGTTGAAGCAATTTTTTTACCTTGTTTTCTGTTTAAAGTAAGTTAAGTGGCATTTTCAGTAAAAATGTTCGCCCTATTTTGGCCAAACTCAAAACTTTTTAGCTTATTTTATTCTTTAGACTAACAGCTTTCATACAAAATAGCTAAAAGTTTAATTTACAGTTTAAATTGGAAAATATTTGCTTAAGCGCGTGTAACATAAGTTAAAAATGGAATTGCCCATATATATAACCAAATATAAAAAACTGAAAATCTATGTTTCTTAATATTTTATATAAAAACAGTGGTTTATAATTTGTGTAACAGATTTGATACCTAGGACCATTTGTGTAACAGGTTTGATACCTAGGACCATTTAGAGTTAAATAATATTAAACTATTGGATGTAGATATGTTGTAGTTATGTGATTAGTTGGTGATGATGATAAAATATGTTGGCTGTTAAAGCTTTTACTAAAAATTATTTTGTACTTTTCTTTGTAAAAATATTTACAGTACGTGATTAAGAAAATAATAATAAATAATAAGTATGCTTATTTGACTTCAATCTCTGCATTAAAATAATTTATTTTATTTAAAGAATTATTATATTATTACAGTTAATTTTTTTTCTTTTAGAATTTTTGTTTTAAATTTGAAAACTTTTTGAATGTTAGTTGATTTTATTAAAACTTGTTTGAGAAGCCATTTAAGTTAAAAATAAAGTCATATACTGTTAGATTTCATATCCTGTTTCACTGTTTGAATTGATTTCACTATTTTTATTTCACACTAAAGAGCAGTTTAAAATTTGAAAAAGCAGAATAGAATCTTAGATCATTTTTCTGATTCATTTTGAAGTTCAAAACTTTTCAGGGCTATATTATTTATGTACTTAAAGAAATATAAATAAAATTGTTATTATAAACTCGAAATAGGCTAGATCAATAAAGATGACATATAATATTACATTATTACTCTGGTATTCTAATCCATATAACAATCATTCAGTGAAAAAAAAAAAAGCAAAGTTATCGATATGTAGACTGAAAATTAAAGGTACTTAAGGTTATTAACAAATAAATATGTTAATGCACATTTTTATTTGCATTAACATATTTATTTGCATACCAGAAATAGCCTGCATTGCTTGACAATTTATATACCAGCCTTATGAAATTGAATGCTTAGCTTCTGATATCCAGGCTTAATTTATATATATTCATTTCAATAACCTACATTGGTCAACATACCAGAAATAACTTATATTGCTTGAAAAACGATAAACCTACATTACTTAAGTATAAGTGAAAAAGTTTTGTAAAAGGATAAAAAAACCAAATATTGCAAATAAAAATATTTGTAATATTTTACCTTTAGGTGGATTTTAGATGTCATTTTTGATATTTTGTTTTACGATATTTATTTATTACAGTATATGTAGTAAATAAATATCATAAGCCATGTTTTATTTGTATTTTATCTGCTTGTTTTTTGTTTTTTTTTAAATAGTCACAAATTTCAGTTTTTAAATAGTTATTAGTTGTTGTTGGTCTTTATTTTATCTTATCATACTTTTCTACTAATACTTATTCAATTTTTTAGGTATTCAAGCTTAAAAATTGAGCGTGTTATCAATAAAAAGCTTTGGGATAAATATTACTATCAAAGAAAACAAGTGGCTGATGCCAATCACAACCATCCTAATGAGAGAATGCTTTTCCATGGATCACCTTTTGTTAATGCGATTGTACAGAAAGGGTTTGATGAACGGCATGCATATATTGGTAAGGTTTATTGAATTCAATATTAAAACTGTAAAAATATTTAAACTTTTAAAAGATCTCTAAGAATAATGGCAGATGAAATGGTCTATCCCAAATATTTTTGTGCAGTAAAATGTTTCATTAAAAAATAATTTTCATTAAAAAAAATTTTATCAAACGTGTTTGAATACCTTTCATTCCAATTAAAGGTAAAAAAAAAAAAAAAAAAAAAAAGAGCGATGTATTTAAAACCACTTTTTTTTAAATATGCAAAATAATAATAATAATATACAATACTGTTGAGATTTAATGCCATGTTAAATCTTTTACAGACTAAACAAGAAAGTTACATATTTAAAATTCATAATTAAAATAAATAAAATACATAATTATCAAATTCAAAATAAATTTGCGCAAATTAATAATAACTCTATAAAAGATAATAATATACAATACCTGTATTGCAAATTCAAAATGCGGGCATATATGACTATAATACATCAATTTTATTAGTTCAGTATCTTTATACTTAAATGATTTGCATATTATACCAAATTTATAGTTTGCAATAGATGATGCAATTTTGATTTGTGGTTTCCATTTTAAGTCAATTGAAATTAATACACCTAGATCCTTTTCCAACTTAGTAGCAATTAATTCTTGTTTTATATTATTGTTAGTCATGAAATATTTATAATTTTTATTTTTGTTACCAATATGCATGATCTTAAATTTTTCAAAATTGAATTGCATTTTCCAGTTTGTTATCCACTTTTCTAATATAGCAATGTCATTTTATAAAGCATCTGTTTCATTGTTAACTTCAGCTATTACTTTACAATCATCTGCATTAAACAAAAATTGGTTTGTAAGTTGACTTGGAAGATCATTGATGTAAATTAAAAATAAAATTCGACCAAGCACAGATCCTTGTGATACACCACTTACTATGTCCACCCATGATGATACACTCTCTCCAAATACATTTCTTTGCTTTCTATCAGTTAAATAAGAATTTATCCACTTCAATGACATAGATATAATGCCATATGCTTCTTAGTTTTAGTGCTAATCTTCTATATGAAACTTTTTCAAAAACTTTTTTTGAAATCAGTATAAAAGATATCAAATGGTTTACTGTTTTTGTGACACCTGTTGTTACTGTCAGTGACATATCCAGAAATATTTTGGCATACCGATCTAATAATTCTGTCTACCTTAATACCGGTCTGAAAATACCTTAATACTGGTCTAAAAATACCTTAATACCGGTCTAAAAATCCTGTCTATCTTTTCTTTTCTTTTTTTAAACACAAATTTAAATATAATTATTTATACATAATATAACTTGCCCTAGTATTTTACGTTTTTCCTAATGAAAATGTAAACAGTTAACTAAAATGTTACATTTTTTACAAAATGACAGCTTTAACGCCAATATTGATTCGATTTTTTTTATTATTAAAAATATTTTTAATGCAATTTTACTGTTATTTGAAATGAAAAAGTTTAAATCTCATACAGCTAAAATTGCTTTGAAAGTTATATTATGTAAACATAAACAAAGGAGAAACTTAAATTAGAGTATTTTAAAAATGTTAATGTTTTTATTTTAAAATGCTAAGCGTTTCATATTTTAATCCAATCAAAATGTGAGTTTTACATTTTAATCAAATTGTAACATATTCCATATTTCATCAACGTGAATTCTAATAAAGCATTCTGATTGACTTAAAATACATTTATAATGTGTTTTAAAAGTGGTTTTTCAAATGTTGGTTTTTCTAAGCGACATTAATAACATTTTTGTGATAAAATTTGTTATGATAATTATGATAATAAATTTATTATCATAATTATCATAACAAATTTTATCACAAAACAGCAAGACAATAAAGTAATAAAAAATTATTTTATTTTATTTTTTTAGGTGCTAATATAAAATTGTTTTAAATTGAGTTTGGGAAACTTGAAGGCCCATACCGGTATACCGGTATCAAAATCGGCCTGGATACGTTGCTGACTGTATCCACATACTCTAGAAGATTAGTTATGCAACTATTACCTTTTGTGAAACCATGCTGATTATAAGATAATAAGCTGTTAATCTTTAAATAATGTAAGAGTTAGTTAGATATTAAACAGGCTTGGTCGGGAAGCGGGAGCCATTTTACTGAGTACGGAAATAATATTTAGTTGCGAAAAACTGGTCAGATTTTTTAGTCATTTTGAGAACATTTCCAAAAAAATAAAAAATTAATTGGACCAATCAAAGACAATCACAAAAAAAAAAATAAACTAGGAAAAGAAAAATAACTTTTAACGCGAAAAAAGTTAAAGCAAAATAAATTACATTTAGAACAAATGTTTCCAAAACATTGCTCTTTTATAATATTTTTATAAAATTAAGCGACATTTTTTATATAAAGTAACAAGTTTATTAACATCTTACAATTGCTTAATAAGGAAACAAATGTTCTTTTACTTATCAAAGAGTATAATATAATTTTTATTTATATACCTGTCTTATTTCCAGTGCTGGATTAAGGAGGGTTGTGGTTAGAGGGGACTATAGCTCCAAGCCCCGAAATAGTCAAGAAGACCTTTTTTTTTTGTAGTTTTTACGCTGTGGCACATGAAAAAGGCCTCAAAATAAAAATAGTCCCCAGCCCCGAAAAATCCAACAAGATTCTAATCAAACTAACGCTAGTTTTAGTTTTATTTAAGCTAAATTATTAACTAAATTATTAAAACTATTTTATGCTTTGCATAGTTTGAAAAATTTATCATACTTAAAACAATTCTTCTTAGTAAAATGAACAAATGAAATAATTAAATCATTGAGTTACTGTAGAAATTAAATTAACTAGATAGAAATCAACTAAAAAGGTTAAAAATACTTTATAAAGAGGAAGCTAAACTGCTTCACAACACCGCTGATCATATATATATATATATATATATATATATATATATATATATATATATATATATATATATATATATATATATATATATATATATATATATATATATATATATATATATATATATATATATATATATATATATATATATATATATATATATATATATATATATATATATGTATATATGTATATATATATATATATATATATATATATATATAATATATATATAATATATATATATAATATATATATATATATATATATATGTAGGTATATATATATATTTGTGTTCTATGATGACCTCAGGTGCGGTGCTTGTTCATCCGCAAGTTACTTTGTATGCATGTTTGTGTTTAGTAACCAGAAACTTCTTGTATATTTGTTTCGTGATTAGTTTTATTAACTTTGGTGATTAATAATTTCAGTGAAAACACAATTATTGTTGAAAGTTTTTGCTTACAAAATAAATCATAAAAATTGCTATAAAAGATTACGTTAGAATAAAAAACAGATACACAAAATTACATTTACATAAAAAATACATACTTTTTAAATTAAAAAATGAGAATATGCTAATAAAATCTATAATATGTAATAAACTTTCAAAATTTTGACAATTTAAAAAATATATATTTAAGAGATTTATTTTTGTAAACAAATAATAATAGTTTAAAAGGTTTACGGTTTTGCAGATGTGGCTCCAAGAACAGTCTTCTCCGTTTGAAATTTAATGCGAGCACACAAAAAAGTTAGCCAATGTGATTTAAACAATTTTTTTTTTCCTGCTATTTAAATTAAAATAAAAATAGCAAAAATAATGCTTTAAATAAATACCAGTTAAAGTAATTTAAAAAAAAAAAAAAAACTGGTAAAAAAAAAGCCTTTTTTATAAAAGTTGAACAAATGAACAAAAGAGTTTTGTTGTAATTTAAGATAAAATGCTTTTATTTTTTTTTTGCAAGTTTGTAGTGTTTGTAAATATTCTTTTTATTCTTCTGCACCAAGATGTTTTAAGAACATTTGAGTTTATGTATGTCCGTAAAACAACAATTTTTTGTTTTACAGACATACATAAACTAAAATATTCTCAAAACGACTAAATAATCTGGCCAGTTTTTTGCAACTAAATATTATTTCCATGGTCAGTAATCAAGAGTGATCGCTTCCCTACCAAGCCTGATTAAATGTTCTAAAGTTTTTCAAAGAATTGAAGTCAGGGAAACTGGCCTATTACATTATGTTACAAATTTTCACTTTTGGTCTGTTCCTGGATTGAAAGTGTGTTTTCATAACCCCTTAGGTCTAGAACAGAAAGGAAATAGCTGTTATTCCAGTAAAATTTTGCTTCTATGACCAGGATAATGAAATATGGAAAGTTGTGTGTTTTTGAGAATATTCTCGATTTGCTTTCAATACTGAGCTTCCTCCTATAATATTCCTGAACTTCTAGAGTTGTCCAGATGTTTCTACAATTCTCCTTAACACTCTAGAATATTCAAGAAACTTCCAGAACTTTTGAGAAACTCTCAGAACTTTCTAGAACGTTCTTGAACTTTTGAGAAACTCTCAGAACTTTCTAGAACGTTCTTGAACTTTCTAAAAGTAGCTGTACAAGTATAAAAGATGTTTCAAACCAAGATTCCAATTTATGTTACTTAAAGGATAACAATTCATAGTTGAAGAGAAGTTATTTATTTGATATGGCATCAAGAAGTTGTTTGCATCCAGCTAATTCATTCTGCTATGTGCACAAACAGTTCATAAAAACAAGAGCAAACAATTCATAAAAACTATTCCATGAAAGCAAGTCTTATAATATGTGAGGCCTACAAGGCATTTTTTTGCATACCGGTCAGGGACCAAGACAAATCTTGGGCACCACATTTGACATGCGAATTTTGCAAGAAAACCATTGAAGGTAAACTTAACAATTGCTTCTCGCTTATATGTATTTTAATTTATTTCATAAAATTTCAATGCTTTTGATCTAGTTCATTTCAAGGAGTTGTAATTTACAAAGTTTTATCATAAGTCATTTATTGCAAATACATTCCATCTTGAAATCTTTTATTTTAAAATTTCCTGTCC